AAAAAGAATACAGTTTTTACCTGAGACATGGACATCCTGCAAATTTCTTTAAAGTGGCTTAGATTTTGCTGCATCAAAATGAAAGATTACGTGGATAACAATTGAGTTAGCCAATGAATTATATTTTAAACTAGACTAATTAAACAAAACATGGCAACACTTACAGATTCCAAGTTTAAAGTCAGGTCACATACAGCCCATGGCGATCCAACCGTTACAGAGCTTGTTATGGTTGTGGAACTTTTGAAGCAGTAATTTATTAATTTAACAGGCACTGAAGTGTAAAGTATGAAAATTGCGGTTGTTTTGGTGCTTGCCATCCTCCGCTGTAGGCTTGACTAATAGCGCAGTATCTCAATTTTGCAGTTATTGCGACAGCCTTAGAAGCCAGCAACTGACACAGAAATATGCAAATTTATAACATACCTTGGATAGCTGTAGTGCCACTCAAATACTCTGTTTGATCCTGTAAGAGCAAATATAATATCATATCAGAGCTTCTTTTGCAAGTCAGGTGATTATTGGCAAAATTAAATTCCTTCAGAAGCACTCTCTATAGTCCTTAATGGGCACACAATATATGAACACCGACTTTTGATTAGTTTACAAAATAAAGGCCATAAACACTTCTCACAAGCATGTGATATGGGCAGTTTTTAGTTGTGATAAATGTATTTAGCTTATTAACTTTAATGAAGGCAGAGCTTGACTGTCTCCACAGTAACGTTATAGGGCTAAAGTAACGTTAACAAACTTACAGCAGTTCAGTGCAACGTGAACATAAACGTTACCTCATTGTGTTAGCCAGCTCACTTCAAATAACAGTAACTTTGACCTTTCTGTTAACATTACTACTCTGAAAACAGTACTTTTTCACTTAACCACTTAACCGTTACCAGACCAAAGTGCATGTAACAGCCCCAGATGAAAAATCGTAAGTGTTGATGACTGTCTGGAAAGGTTTCAGGTTTCAGGGGTTTTTTTTCTTAGACAAAATCACTTGCCTGTGATCAAAGATAGTGATAGCAGCTGATGTTGTGGAGTATCCTGTAGGCAAATTTATGCTAAATGATTACTGATGCAGACAAAAACTCTCCAACCTCTTACAACCAGAAGCTTTGGCTTTTTCACCCAGTGGTGAACAAAGTTTCTTAGGCATATTCAGATCCTTTTATCTTTTTTTCCCTTTTAATAAAAGTACTAACAGGCCTACCTCGCTGTAAAAATACTCAAGTACTGCATTGAAAAAGTTAAGTAAAAGTATGTTATTAGGCTATAAGCAGGAAAATGTAGAGGTAGCCTATTAAAAATTAAAAAGTAGCCTACTCAAAGCAGAAAGAAAAATGACTGTTATACTATTAGCCTATATATCATATCATTAGATTATTATTCCTCATGCATTAATGTAGTTGGTTGTGGTTGAACTATTTTTTATCAGACTACTATTAATGATTATTTTTAGTATTAATCAGCTGATTATTTTCTCCATTAATCGATTGTAATAAATTCTGAAAATAGTGAGAGAGCCCTGCGTGACACCTTGCATGCTTGTTTTGTCAGTCCAAACCTTAAAATCAATAAAAATACATTAAAATAATAAAAAGTTAAAGCAGCAAATCTTCAGGTTTGTAAAGCTGGAACCATGAAATGTTTTTACATGAAAAATGACTAATGCTAAATCAGATGCCAATTCAGTTTCTGTCAATTAGCCTAACTGATGTAGTTCTACTAGTTGGACTTGTATAAGCTGTTAAGTAATTAAAATTATATAAAAACATCATATTTAAACTCTCTAAAAGCCTGTTTTTTAAAAGTAACTAGTAATTGAAGGATAAATTCTGCAATACTACAGTAGACCTATGTGTACGATATACATTGAGCACTGCTGTTCATTGGGCTCGTTTGGGGCCAAATACAAATGATAGGCTACATTTGTATTTTTGAAATATAAGTATCAATAGTCTTTTATCAGATGTACCTATTTTTATAATTTCTATTTGTTCAGGTAAATTATAAACTATAGGTCAAATTTAACTGTTAGTAAAAAACTTTGAGATTTGCCTGGGGCCGAGGGGCCGCTGCTGCAAATATTTGAGTGGCTCCTCCTCTAACACGCGTTATCTCACTCCAAAATTTTTGATAAAACTTGAGAGCCCTGAGCTAACGTTAGCATAACAGTAACGCGCCGCAGGGTTAAACAATAAAGTCACAGAACAAAAAAAAACACTTTCACAGCGCTGGGTTCTCTCGAACTTTGTTAACTACTCTCAAACTAATTATCAGTTTTGATCCTTTACTTGCAAATTTGTCTCGCTGGCCTTGGGTAACCTAGTCCGGACGTTCCCCGCTTGGTGGGCGTGTCAGAGGTGTTACCCAACCAGCTGCAACACGTTTGTAAACACAACCGTCGTAAAAAAAAGCAGTAGCATATGGAACCACATACGTCATCAACACAAGCCTCGATACGCGCTTCACAAAATCATCCAGTATTACTCGACACACGCTTCGAAGCCTCGATGCGGACGGACACATCACTAGTGGTAAGTCTCTACTTATTTAACCATTGTTTTGTGTTTTAACAGAAGCAGTGTTGTAGAATAACTTGATATTGATGTTCACCATAAACTCCAGCTGGCTGGTTTTATCTTTAAACAGAATTCTGAAGGGCTAACGTGACCGAGTTGATGACTAGCTTAAATGTGCCATGAAATTGACAAGCTAACTAACGTTACTAGTTCATGTCAAACTAGACCGTGTCGGGAAGAGGTAACGTTAACGTTGTCAATGTGGAAGTGTAATGTTGTTGTATTATTTGTAACGTCCATACATCAATTTAAAAGTCCATCTGTGTGTAGTTGGCTAATGTTAAACTTGTTAACTTTAGCTTGATGAGCTGTAGATATCCCTGCCGAACAATTCGCAGGCATTCCTTCAAGGAGGTAGCAAATTAGTGTCGCATGAATTAGTAACTGTGTATTTAGTAGTAAATAGTGTTACGTTACTGATTTACTTTGACAACCCTTTCAAAAATGTGTTTGGTAGATGTTAGCTTGTTAGCTTTCTTTGTTGATGCTTGTATGTTCCTGAAATGTAAGTTTCTTTGGATAAAAGCATCTACCAAATGAGTAACTGTAAATGTAAACTTGCGGCGCGCACACAACATAGACCAGTGCTCCCTACCCAGCACTCCACTGCTGCGCAGCGAACAACCAAAACGCCCAAATGCCATGCAATCACAACATCAATGCACAAGTGACGAGCCCAACAAACGGCGACACCCAATGCCCGGCAGCCCCCCGCGAATCCCGCATGCGAGGTCCAGCAAATGAGAGAGAGCAAGCGGCAGAACACGACAGCGAAAGCAGCGGAGAGAAACACCAGCAGCAAGTCCCAGCCCGGCAGCAAATGCGCCGCGTAGGCCACTGTGCACCCGCCAATAAAAGACCGCCGTCCCCCCAACTGCCGGAAAAATGAAGGCCGCCCGCACCAGCCGACATCCCCCATGCACAGCACGCCCCTGGGCCGCCGTGCAACGCCAGTCAAACCAGCAACGAGCCAAAATCAACTGCCATGCCACCACCATCCCACCCACCCGTCAAGGGCCGAGAACTCCAGGCACAAGCCCAGAATAAACTGGAGCACAGCCCTGCCCTGCACCCACACTGCACATCCCCAAAAACGAACCACCACCACCACCATTCTCACGCAATCAGGAGCACCCCTCCCCCCCCAACAAGGGAGTAGGTCCGGAGCGGCCCAGGGACGCAACGGCCCCTAGGGCCCAGACCAAAGGCCTGCACACACCCAGGAAGCAATGCCAGAAGACCCCCACCCCGCACCCTTCCCTACCTAGCAGCGAAGCATCCCACACACCCCCACCATCCCCAAAGAAAAGAGACAGCAGTCACCCCACGACAGCAGCAACAGCCCCTCCAGCCCTAGGAAGTCACCAGATGCACCCAGCACCTAGGGGCAGGAATCTCCCGGCACCCCACGACTCAACCCGACCACGATCCAGAGGGCTGCGACGTGACCACAAAACACAAAATAGTTTGGTTTTGTAAAATGCTATGAGTCAAAGCTAAAAGTAGTATACTTTTAGTATTTACCAAATGAGTAAATGTAAACTTGACAGTCTTGTCTCAGTAATGTTAAATTAAAGAAACATCATGTTTAAGTTGACTAGTAGTAATTGTTGTGGTGCGTTTCCATTAGTATTTGAGTCTAGCACAATATTTTAATAAATTTAATAAGCATCAGTGAATCAATGTAATTTAACTCTTTTGAGCTTTAATTTCATACAAATTGTCATTAAGAAATGAGAATTTAATTTTCTTCCTAGCATAGTTGTTGTTTATGCACACAAGAAACATTATTACCTGTTTAAGTTGCGGTGTAGCAAAAGAAACTTTCAAAGTCCTGGTATCTGTAGTTCAGTTATAAAAATGTGTGTGTGAGCAGGGATTGTTTCAGTGAAACAATGCTGGGTAAATAAAGGATAAAACACTTCTGGAATTGAAGTTTAAAAAATGAACATATGGAACACATGTATACACATTTTGACATTTGCATTTTCGCTTCCTTCTGCTACTTCTGGCATCCTCACAGCTTTCTTTTCTCTTTTGTACCCTTTAGGCCTCCCTAAATCTCTACATTCATCTCTCTTGGCAGTTTTCCCTGCACCTCTCCGTCTTTCCAGCCTCATTTTGTCTTCATCCGGACATTACTTAAGCCTGATCCTCCAACCCAGAGCCAGGATGATGAAATTCCAACGTGTCACTTGCATAACCGGCCACCTTGCTAACAGACACGATAATAATGCCATGGCCTGCTTTGCTAACAGTCGCCCAGCACACCCATTTCCCACCATTAGGCCTGCTTAAGTGTACTAATCCATCCACAAAGCTCTCTCAGTAAAGTATTACTTCTAAAATATAATGTATTGTTGCATAAATGTATTCATTCACTGATGCGTTCATCCATTTTATGTTTTACACAACTATAAATGAATGTAATGTACATGCTGTGAAATATAATGGTAATCCATGAAATGCAGAGGAAAGCCTGCCCTAATCTCTGGATTTACATGGTTCTTGGGTAGAAGAGAAGTATGGCTTGGGTCCCTATTAGCATGTTTTGTGTCAATATGTCAAATTTGTATGCATCAGGGTCTGTAATCTCTGAAAATAAAATATAATTGAGGAAGGTCTAACTTTCTGATGGCCCTAGATATTCAGATCTGCCTCTCTAAAAGCCATCTACATGGGTAATGCCTTTCATTATTAAGTGAGCAACAGCAAAAACATCAGCTTTATGTAACTTCACAAATCCTGGCTTCAGTAATGAGCACTTGGAAGTGGGATATATTTCGGTAGCACAGGATTATCTAACCTCCATTTAACCAAATAATCAGCTGAGAAGAGGCTCTGATGGACAAGCAAATGACTAAATGACACTGTATGACTGTATATAATTAATGTAGCTTTTTCACAGTGTGTTCCCTTCTGGCCTGCAGCATCCTATGTCAAAAAACAGTTTTCTGCTGATCTGGCACTACACTGCTGGGCTGCTGCAAGGTGACCCCATTTACTTCCTAGACCTCCCATCCAACTGCAAAGGATGTAATATTTAGAGATCCCACATGAAACACTTCATCCTAGCAGTTTCCAGCTGATTTCCAAAGAGAGACTGTGTCATTTTTATGATTTTCTCTCCAATCTGAGACAGGAAAAAACCCCAACACATCTCGTCATTTTGTCAATTTATTGAAATCATTTAGCATATTTTACAAAACCTGATGATGCTTCAAATGAAATATCTTTTAATATTTGCTAGTCTTGTACATTGTAGCTCAGTGCTCAAAAAAATAATGTGAAGAAAAGTGGTAGCAAATTTAAGCATTAAACATAGCAGAACATTCATTCTTTTACTGCGCATCAGAAAGCAAAAGCCTTTTTCAGAACAAGGGCTAGTACATCAGAAAGGTTTGGGGACAACTAGCTTCCACTCCAGCTGGTTTTGAATTAAATTTGGAAAGTTGATTTTCTTTCCTGTCAACATGGTCTCATAACTATAAATAAGCCAGAAATTATTAGAATTAAGGCTCTGTCATTATGCACATAGCTGGTTTATTTAACAATTAGAAGTGAAAGCAAATTGACTCCAAACCTACTGTTACTATTAAGCATATTTCAATACATACATAACATTTTCCAGAAAAATGTATTTAACATTCACGCTACAGTAGAATACACAGCTCTCGTTCAACTAAAAGATCATCATAACATGAATAAAGATAACACCTGATTTAAAGGAAAGTTCTGTGCTTATTCAACCAGAACACAAAAACACAAAATATTAAAATATTCAAGGGATTAATAAATATCTGAAAAGTGCTTTTGGACCATTGCTTGGCCAGTAAAGGGCTGTGAGAGCTGCAATTGTAGTTTTTTGTAGTTTCCAGTCCTCCAAACATTAATTTGTTTGTTTAAATATCTTGTATCAAAAGTTATGTGATCTTAACTGTAATTCCAACTGACTGAAAACTGATACGAGAATGTTGCCAACCATGGGTTCAAACAAGACACATATGATTTGATATTGAGTGTTGGGGGGGGGGGACATGTCAGCAACAATTAACATTACATTCATTCTGCAAGTGGGTCCAGAGATCTTTGGGAAATGTAGTCTTTTTCATTCATAGGAAAACCCCAAAAGGTGCCCTCTTTCAACAGTGCATGTGTTGATGTTTTTCCTTCTGCCCTGATAAAGAGGTTTTTGGATGAGGTCTAAGATGGTCATGAGTTTGCCTGTTTGCCATCACCTTCATCATCAGTATTATCACCATGGTTGTTCCTATCACTGCCAATGCACAAACACTGCATAAGGCATATGAAAAGCAATATATAGGCCAGCTGTATATTCAGTTATAGCTCTAGCTATATACATAGGACCGTGAATACATGTTTAAGGCCTATTAGACCCCTTAAATTCAGCACAAGCGTCCTGCTAGCAACTAGCTTAGCTGAATATTGTTTGGTATAGGTCACTAAGACGGCAAGCAGTAATTCATGTGGAATGCTTAAATAGAGTTAGTCAACATTCACTGATAAGGTCATCGTGGCAAGAAATATTTTCTTTGCTCGAACATTTAGTACTGCAATACACAACAATTTTTACAGGCTGGAGTGGTCCTCTTCATGCTGAGTAAACAGACCAACTTAGACGAACTGATCATTTAAGCCCTTATAATCGAAATGAGAAAATAACCATGTGTCGATTCTATTTGATTTGCATCCACCTACATCATTAAATTCGTGCATTTAGTCTTCACATCTAATTTCATGTGCATCACATTTTTCTTCTCACTTTGTCTGCAGGGTCCCTGACATAGGCAGCCTGGTCTCAGATCAATACAGTAATGCCTTTTCCTGCCTCCCTTACCTTGACAGAGACAACGAGATTTTGAATGCATCTCAAATGATGCGGGAAAATGTCCCAGTCAAATAGGGACAAATTAAACATGTAATATCAAAAACTGCACAAAGGAAACCTTATCAATTGTACAGCCAGATCATGTGCCTCTCAGGGGAAAAAACCTCGCTTTGTTCGTCGTTGAGGTTATTTATGATAGGAGAGCAAACAAAGCACCATCAGGGATTCTGCACTTGAAGAATTCCCATCTCATTCTTTTGTAAAGTAGCACACTTAGATGGATACTTACATGCACTCACATCGCTTTACATGCTTTTTTTTCTCCAACGGATGCTGCACTGAGATTGAATGCCTGCCTCTCTGCCATAACCTTCAAATGCCAAAAATAGATATCCCTGGTGTATTGGCGGTGCCTTCTATGCACACACAGATGAAGCAAGGGATTAATGTGAAAAATGAATGCAAGAGATACTTAGTCATTGCTAATTCAAAGAGAAGACAAATGCGAGGAAGGAAGAGAAGAATTAGGCCAAAGATGTGTGTAATCTATATGTAGAAAGCAGGCCATCCACTGCATCTGGAACAAAGATACTACTGTGCATGTGAAGGATCACAACATAGCAAGTAATTGGTCTATCAAATTAACCAAACAAACTGTTTGGCTTTGACATACAAATATTGTCTAACTTCCCCCATATGCTACAAAAAGAGCTGATTGTGTTACCAGTGAAGCTGTTATTGTGCACACTATACACTATACTTGTGTCATTCTAAGGGCTCTAAATAGCGTGCCATTACCGCATAACACCCAACACAATCAGCGAACACTGATGGCCTACCTTAGCTACTTGCTAATACATGCATGGCATAATTTAAGTGCAACCACTAATCATCAAATAAATGAGCATCTTCAACAACAGCTCACATCAATAATATTTTTGACTAAATAGCCAGTTCTCATTTATTTTAAATAAATGCAGCAGAAATATTAGTTCCTAAATCATTCAGGGGACTACAACTGTCTAATAGTGTTGTAGTTACAGTGCTCTGCTGGATACATTCTGTAGGTTTGTGAAGCAGATTTAGGATCGAGAGATGAGTGGTTGCTAGGTGACCGGATAGGCCACAGGTGGATTCGTCCCAGCATGAACTCCTCTCCTGCTCTCTCCCTAAATGATGCTGCCAGAAACAGAGGTTGTGGTGGTGAACGAGTGATCACAGAGAAGCCAAGGCACGTTTTCTTTTGTACGTCTCAGCTATCAAAATTCCACACCGTGTTGAGTATTTTCTCTTTTCCGTGTCATGTCTCTTCACTGCATCCCTGGTTTTATGTAACAGTGCAGCAATCCCTACCATAGCTTTGCCTCTGATTCTCTTTCACTGCCCTCCACTTCTCTCGTGACATGTTGGAGAGGCATATTGTTCAGTGCTTTCTTCTGCCTCTTCATCCATTTTTCTTTCCCTCTTACACTCTCGCTTCCTCTTCCTCCTCTGTAAAGGTTTACATTACATTGGCTTTTTCGCTCATTGCTGCATTGCAGTTTAAAAATGTACAACAAGGCTCTTGTTTCCTCACAACCTCTCCTCCCACATCACCTGAAAAATGACTCATCCATGCACCATGGATTCTCTCGATGAACAATTCTCTCCTATGCAAGTCCAACACCACAAAATGGCAAGCAGCAAAATATCGTTGAAAACAATGAAGACATAATGACATCCTGTACACATTGCACTGGTACTGACTTGATTGGTTTGCTGACCAGAGAATTCCCTTGGAAATGCACTGAACGGGAAACTCTAGCATTTGTGATTATTGTAGGCACTCTAAAGACCTGGAGGACCAGCCTCAGGATATAAGAGCAGCGAAGAGGAAACTGGAGAGAAGCTGTGTCAATGAGCGATAGCTAAAGAATGGAAGTCTGTCCTCCCGTTTATGTAGAGCTAATTTCCAAAGCAATCATGGAAATGGAAGCCTCTATTGTCCTACTTGAGCTTCACAGGCCAGGGGAGGCACGTGCGGAGTCCCAGCATTGAGGAGAAGACTATGGTGGACCGATGTTTTTTGAACCTCAGGCCTTTCTTGAGCCGTTGGCTGTTCTCTGCCACGTACAGCTCCCCCTGCTGGGCTGCACTTGATATTCGCGAAACCAGCTCCCCGTGGACCACCACCTCCTGCTCTGAGCGCACAAACACCTCCCTGAGCTCCTCAAGCCGGCGCTCCATCTCTCTGATGACACGTTGACGCTCCTCCACCTCCAGGAGGCGCCGTCGAGCTGCCTCAAACTCCATGCTGGAGCTGGGGGTGACGAGCTTGGAGGAGGGAGCCGTGGCAGAGGTGGAGGGCGGTTCAGAACCCGTTAACAGAGCCCCTGTCACCCTCCGGAAGTCTCCCATGGAAATGGAGCGCCTGGTTCTTGGAGAGGCCAGTGCCAGGAGAGCAGAGGCAGATGTAGAAGGTGGCATGGCTAATGGAGGAAGAGGGGGAGAAGATGATGATGGAGAAGGTGAATCCGGTGGGTGGATATCAGGATGTGGGTCCTTGTTTTTAATAGCTGCTGCCATGTCCTCGCTTGTGTCCCCATCTTGGTTGTCTCTGTTTCTTTGTCGTCTCTTCATGGCCTCTATTTAACTCTTCCTGTACTGCTGCTGTTGTTGTTGTTAATGCTGACGTTTCCCCCCAGTCTTCATGTGTCAGAGCAGGGAGCAGCCAAGCAGAGAGTGCAGAGATGTGCAGTGGTGCAGCCTGAGAACTGCTCCATTCATTAATAAGAGATCTGAGCCAGACTGGTGCTGTCTCTGGCATCTGAGTGGTTGTGCTTGGGAGGAGCCTCCTAGCAGCTCATTGGCTGCTGAACTCATGAGCATGTCAGCTGGTGATTGGGCAGCCTGCCTCTTTGCTGCTGATGCTGGCAGGCTGTCGTGTCCTCTGCTTGACTGTTTTGCTTCATCGTCGTCGTCATCATCTGGAGCTCTGCTTCAATCAGCTCTGCTCAGTCAAGCGAGGCAGAGTGGGCCAAGACGTGCAGAAGGGACCAGGACTCTCTTCTCTTACTGATGCTGTTTGGCTCACTCTGTGTCCTCCCAGCCTCTCTGCTGCCATTCCTCTTACCAGCTGGTCTCTAGATTTCTCTCTTTCTCCCTTTCTCTCGCTCGGATGGTTGCCCATAGCAACAACGTCTCCACATCAGATGGCAAAAGCAGGAGGGAGGGGTGATGCTCCAGTTTCACTCTACCCTTTATCACCTTGCTGCTCAGCAATATCACTCTTTTCCTGTACTCATTCTCGCCCCACATTCCCTCCCTCATATGACCTATTTGAAACCTCACGCAAACTATATCTTTATATCTCCTCTTTCAATCACATATAAGCATCAATGCAAATACATGTTCAACCACATACGAGTAAGCAGCAGCGCACACACACTTATAATTTTTTCTAGTAACAAAAAAAATAATAATAATGGGGTACTGTACACATCTAGTACACATGTTAGACAATACTCAAATGAAGAAGACTGGCTGCTGCTAAGAAACTCTTGTTAGCAGCACATTTGGTGGCTTAGAGGAAAACGATTGTATTGAAACATAGTAAATTTGATTAGTTAAGTTGAATCCATAGAACACACAAGTGCATATAAGTGTTGTACCAAGAAATCACACCAGGCTAATACATTCTGCCACTGCAAAGACTGCCGTGTGTAGCCCTCTGCATGCTTGTACGATCTGTATGCCCTGCACTCTTGAGTTCAATTATTTCAATTTATATGTATTCATTTATATAACAAATAAAGCCAGCATCAAATGGTCTAAACACATATGCAAAGGTGCCCAAATGAAAGTTTTTATTCATAACTCTTTAACATAATTAAATTGAACATTATTTCATAGAATGGCACTTTACTGCATAAACAACACCTTAAATTACATAACCATGTCTGCTAAACTGTGGTGTCTTTTATAATATGATGTTGAAAATTGTGGTGTCTCTTAAATTGTGTTGTATCATATCCAATTACTATGTTTAGCTGTGTTACCTTGTACTGTGATGACCTGACGGGGGACTACAGATGTAAAATATTCTTTGGGCTAACTCTGGGCATATTTACATTGCTGAAAAGCTAAGATGTCCATTAATATGCACTGTCCTTTTTAAATAAATAAAAAAATTACAATAAAAAGCAGTATTTAAGTGGAAAAACAAAGGGTGACCTGAAAAGGCGATCTCTACACTCAGTCCTGTCATCTCAGGAGTCTTAATTTTTAAGGGAGCATTTAACCATTTAAAAGTTAAAGCATTTGTGATGTGTATAATCCTGAATGTTTATTTTGTTACCTGTTCTCTGGCCTATTGAAGGTAAAAAATGTACACTTGTTAGGTGATGGCTTGTTATGGCAATGTTGCAAAATGAAAAACTGAAACCTGAAATCATGTTTGGAATCAGCAATAATGACCAGTTTATACTGTTGTATAGTTTTGACTTGACTAATTTGATTGTAAGTAGTTACATCATCATGATATAACACTGTCCCTGTTCTTCTGCTTGTTGTAATATCCACTCTACTAACAGCTAAACGTACCCTCTCTGTCTAGACAAATACAGACTGGTTCTGTGACAGCATTGCAGAAGTTATATGATCAGAATATGAAGTAAGACACAGGATTAAGTACACTGAAATACACCACCCGCACGCACACACAACTCAAAGCGATAGCACTGGTGCATTTGGAGCACTGAGAAGTGATCCGCCTTCAGCTAGAGTGAATCCAAACAATCAAGCTTTTAGCAGGGCAGAGGTGTGTGAGTGTGCATATTTGAGTGTTCACTTAGCTCTTTGCTTTTATCCCAGGATTGGCATTGCATTAGCAGCAGCACTGACTGGTCTCCCCCTGATTTTAACTGTACCGATCTACTGATCTCTAGAGAGAAAAGAGATGAAGGCAGACAAACACAAAGGCAGAGATGAAAAATGGTTGAGGTTGTTTTTTGTGTTTCTATAGAAGGAATAAATGACAGGAAACCTTAAAGATGCTGTTCAGACCTTTATCCTACTGTTCAAAAAGCATTAAAAAAGAAGAACTTTGCAAAAGGATTAGAACAATAAAGAGACAACTTTGCTGCTGCGAAGCTGCATGGAATTCAGAAGACAAAGGTAAAATGTAAATTTAAATGAGAATAAAATTTAATTTAAAATAAAAAAATAAAATTTACATTACACAATTTTGAAATGTCAAAAAGTTTTAATGAAGAAGCTTTTATTTTGCATAGTATAAATTGTGTACATGAAACACTGGATATGTTGAATACTACTTTAAGAGATAAAATATATATATTTAACATGAAATGTAAACAAGGGCAATGTGGCGCAGCCTTATGAGGTTTACTTACACATGTTGCACAATTTCCCTTAGGTTTATACACGACATGACTGCCTAAGTAAAGATTTTAGGGATCAAGACAAGATGCTTAAGCTGAGTATTTTTCTTAACATGATGCCCATTTTTGGAAGATTCCAGGGGTTGCACAACATCCTGCAGTTAAAAAATCACTAACTGTAAACTAATCCCACATGGTGCCTACAATTCTGGACACCCCGATTGCCATTATCCTTAGTGTGAATGATGATTTGAGTTTTGAAACACTGCACCATACTATTGTCGTTGTAATCCAGTTAATTTGTAATGGTATTTCTTTTGCAATGTAATTTAATGCATTGCACATTAATACTTTTCTGCAGGAAAGTAATTTTCTAACATCTTGAGCAGTTTTGTTATGATAAATTCGAACACATGTACTTGGACACATTCATCTACATTTGCGAGCACACAGCAGGCACCCACGCACACAAGACAAGTTGTACTGTGTCTCTTCATTTAGTATGCAGAATTAACTGGTCTTTAAATGCCTAATCCTTCCAAAAAACAATCTCTAACTCTATTCCACCATCCATTTTTTTCCTCTATCTTCATAGCTAAAATTGTGATGAAAGCCTGCTTTCTATCCCTCTGTTCCAGATTACTTTAATCTGTGCGAGTGAGTGAATATTTGGTGGGCGCACACAGAGGAGTGAGAGCATCTGTGTGCTTTACCTTGTCCGAGTTTCCCTCAGCTGTTAATCTTTATCATTACTTGGTAAACTTGGCAGTAGTTACACTGAAAAGATTACATCATCAGGTTTGAGTTCAGTGAATAATGTCTAACTTGCAGAGGTGACAATAGGGACAAAGCTGCAGTGCACATGTCACTCTGCGCTAAAAAATAATCTATTATACAGTTAGTAAGAAAAAGTATTATCAGTATTATGATTTTACTGGGGATCAGGATTATGGTGGCTATATGGAGTCACAGAAGTTATGAATGTCACTGATAGGTTAATCTAGTTTAATGACATGTCAAATTTATAATACAAACATTTATTACACCTTAATGAAGATGTGATTTGAACAAGTTAAGTGGACTGTTTCTCTGTACTAGCCTAGCACACATTCAATATGTTATCCATATTTATATCACCCACTCCCACCCTTACAGAAAATTCAGCCTCCATTTGAGCATAGCTGCAGTAAACTGAGGAGACAGGTCCTGGATAAAAACTGCACCACTTTCTTCTCTTCTGAGACAGGAGAGAGATGATGCTGATGGTTCTGGTTTTCCCCTGTTCTATAATCAATATCAGCAGCCAGGATCTGCTGCTGCAGGCTGAGTTATACAGAGACAGAGACAGAGTGTGTGTGTGTGTGTGTGTGTGTGTGTGTGTGTGTGTGTGTGTGTGTGTGTGTGTGTGTGTGTGTGTGAAAACGAACAGGAAGTCATTTATTGCAGTGTGACTTACTGGTACAATGACGTCAAAGTATAGAGAGCAGAGTCCAATGGGAATATATCAGAGTATGAATGCGTATCAGAGAGTACAATGCAGACGAGTGAGAAACCAGCAGTGTGTTTGTTATGTAAGTAAGTACTGTTGAATATACAGAGGAAGGCAACAGCAGGTAGAAGTATGTGATACTATGAGTTGATGCTGTAAAGCTGAATCTGCTGTAATGTTTCATGGTGTTAGTGTTGAAGGAAAGTTCATGGAGGAGGAGATATGATGACAGTTAAAATGCTACAGGCAAGAAGAGACAGCTGCAGAGGCGCTGAAGTCATTTACACAGATTTTTGTAAGCTGTCTACATTATACATGTATAAATATTTATCAATTTACATTGGACTTTGTGCATTTATGGATTCAGACCAACTACTCCATCACATACTTTTCGTTCAATCAGTAGGTGACACTTGCAACACAGTGGTAAATTAAGTTCTTGTTACACAGTATTAGTGGTTTGACTGAAATGCAATCAAGGTGCGCCAGGATTCATTTTACTTTTACATGAAAACAAGCTTGCACTTTATCTCCCTCCAGTGACCAGCCGTGGAAAAACAACAACAATCTGTGGGCACACAAGAAGGCATGAGCAGAGGGGTCATGATAAACAGGTACATGATAAGGATGCAGGGATGCACTGATCCAACTTTTCTCTCCTGATACCAAGTTTGTTACCTCAACTTAGGGTATCTGTGGCTACAAGTACTGATCCGATACCAGTGCTCTCTTTTACCTGAATATAAAAAAAAAAAAAAAAAAAAATAGGGCCTAGGCCTACATGTGGTTTTCAAGATTGCTAGGACCTTTATTTGACAGTGACACGTATGTACCAGCTTTATTTGGCTGTCTACAGATACAGTTTAGTAAGCTACCTATAGATTATAGTAGGCCTATTTAACATTTCAACAACAATTCAGCTGATTCACAAATAAAACTACCAAAATAAAACAGTCTGTCTTGTTAAGATTAAGATTTGATTAGGGCCAAGTATTGCTTACATTATTTCCATTATAATTTCCGATAATAGGCTAGTACCCTGTATCGTACCACTAGTATGATATTAATGCCTGTTACAGCTGTTTCATTATGTTACGCTGTTCTCATTCATTAAATCCTTGTCCAAGAAAAATGATCTACATAGTGGTTCATCTCTAATGTGTTAATTGTGTGTCTAAAGTGTTTACTTGTCAATAATCATAACCATTTATGCAGAACGAGTTCAACATTTCCGGACATTTTGGGCGATTTAGAAATCCCGGCTGAATGCATTTTTTAGCTCCCAAAACATGTTAGAAAAACATGTACAGGTAAAAGAGGACATATGGTAACCCATTATGAGAAGTTTAGGATCTAGTGTTTATGGAACTTGACCCATTATAGAGACTAATAGTCAGGATATAATAGTCAGGAGTCCCCCAATTTTAGA